AAGTTTGAAATTAAATTCTATAAACTTAAAAGTGTACTTAATCAAATTTCCTTGATTATTTTTTATATTTCAGATTTGCTTCCTTCCAAAACTTTAACACACTCAGGTCAACTAAGCAAAAGAGACATTTCTGGCCCATATCCTCAGTCAAGAAATCTTGTAGAAATAAATAATCAAGAGTCATCTAACACAAGACCACTACCCCCTGTGCCACAAACAAATTCCTAAATAATATTTAGCTTCATTTGAAATTCAAATAAAATCTTACAAATTAAATTTATAATATATCATTTACTGCAGTTAAATATATTTACTAATATAAGTAATATTTAAGCCATATTTTGAAGTTAACCTGTTAGATACTTAAATCATTATTATTAAAACTTAAATTTTTAGAAACAGATTTTAAAATATAATCATGAAATGACTCTATACAGTGTTGAAGAAAAAGTCGCTCATAGATAACAAATTGTTTCACTTTAGTTTTTTCATTAAAATAATTTTCTATCTATTTTTCCTAAGTTCCTGAATGCATTCTTTTGAAAATTAATTTTACCAAGTTTGAAATGGTTATGAATTGAAAAAATTACTCGATTCTGAAAATTTAAATAGAAATTTATAAATTATGAAAAAAAAATATTTAAAAAATTTGATTAAAGTATCTAAAACACATAAATTTCCAAGAATTGTACTATAATAAAAATACACCAATTTAATATAACTTTTGTAGTTAATAATTTTGAAGAAAGAGAACACAACAAAAACAGAAGAAGAAAGCAGTTTATAGGGGATGAATAAAAGTTTTAGTAGAGCATTGCATTCTGGGAAAAATCCACAATGTTTACATTAAGACCATAAACAAAATTTCATAAAAAATTTTATCTTTAAAACTGATTTTTGAAATTATATATGCAAATGATTGTATTAAAAAAAAATAAAATATGATTTTAAATGCTAATTGTAAATGAGTAAGAGGAGTGGGTATCTTATTCCACTTTAACAATTTCACCACCCTCACTCTACTGCAGCCATTACACACACTTCATACTTCGTAGGACTATTCTTTTATCAGATACAACCATATAATTTGTTTTACTGAGTGGCACAATTATAAAGTGGATTCAAAAACATCTTAAAGGATATATCATTGGAAATTTTAACAAAGGTAAGAACATATTCTTAGTTTTTGAAGTTCTTTGAAGTTTTTAACACACTTTGAAACAGCTTTATCTTTCTTTACTGTCTGAAATTCACAGCACAACATTCTATGTTTTAGTATTCTATGGAGAAATAAATATTTTCTTGACACATAAATAGTGTTTAATGTTACAAAATATACTTTGTTTCATCTAAAAAGAAAAACAAAACTTTCCTAAGCTCTGAAGAAATCAGGGAATTACTTTGTTAGTTAACAAAGTAATTCAATAATTTCATCTTAGAGGTTTCTCCATATTAACACTCCTCCATGTTAGAAGCCATTATATAAATTTATTTCCTGTACATTTTAAATATGACAGCACTCTATACATATCCCATATTTTCCAATAGCTGTTATTTATTTTTTTTTATTTATTTAAAGGATACATTATTTACAACTTCTAAGAAATCTTACATCATTAATAGTTCCTTTCAGTTAGGATTCATTGATTTTTTTTTATTTCCTATCTTTTCCGATTGTGCTGAATACATTTTCTAAATCCAGAACACGTAAAAATAGAGTAAATGAATGAGAAAAAATATCTGTAAATCTTTTGGACAATTTCAAAATAGAATGTAAGATTAATATAATATTAATCCTTATATATCTTTTGAAAAATCAACCTCTCATATTTTTAGTGGATTTTTGAGTTTTTTTTTTTTCTGATGTCATTAACATATTTTCAATAAGTTGCTGAAAACTTTTCAGCCTAAACCACTTAACAAAATTTGATCAAATGACCATACATCAGAATATTATTTATTTTTTAAAGGTTTCTTGGTAAGATTGAACATTCTTTAGCACACCCTATATAGGTTAATATATGTAAGATATTTAATATAACTTATACCAAAACAAGGTACAAAGGAAGATTTTTTTTCTGTAAATGTTGATTAAAACATTTACAGGTTTTTTCTTGAAAATCATTTTAAAGATTTTTTATAGGTAATTATAAAAATAACTCCTGCTGTTCATATCTATTCACAACTGTTTTAGATTATAAGACTATACCAAAATATATACTAAGTAAAATATATTTTACATAATATATACTAAGTAAAGTATATTTTATAACATTTGCCATTCAATTGCTTAATAACATTTTTAGTAACTAAACTATTTTTAGTAAGTCAATATTCTCCAATATTTTAGTTTTGTTGCTAAATATACAATTACTCCAAAAACTGGTCACATAAAAAGCATAAAAATAAAAGTGACAAACATTATTTGGTTTTATTACATAACAAATAATCTGTGCTATTTAAATAAAGGATGCTTTACACTGATTTATTTGAACTCGTCATCTTAGTTGTTATAATCACAACATTTTGACTGTTGGAGTTTCAAGCCTTCTTCAGGTGACTATTGTATTCAAGTATGTTCTTAGAATTTCTAACCAAACCTTTTATTCATGAGGATAGTATGTTATCATGTCTGGATTTAGATGAAGAGAGGCTCTATGCTTATTTCACTTGTGAGGCCCCTCCAAATACCCTATTCTCACAAATAGAGGAAAATGGACGAATGTTAAATTAAATGATTTAAATAAAGCCAAGGATGATGACGGGTGTTTAAAATTACTGAAACGTTATTTAGAGTCTACAATGCATTATGACAGCATGTGTAAGAAAGGCCTACGATATTGTGAAAAATATTATACATATAAAAGTATAAGTTACTTCTGTTTCAAAGCAAATTTTGTTTCATATTATCTATTGATAATTTATTATTTTACAGATAATTCCACCATACCACAATTTCATTTAATATAATGGACTTAACAATGCAGATACAAGTATTTATATTGATGTTTGCATTGGAATCATATCTCTGTATAGACTTGACTTACACAGTGGAGGAAGGCAAGAATCCAAGAACTTTGGTAGCTGACATTGCTGCAGATTCACAAATCATGGATGATGTCCTACCAGAAGAGCATAAATTTATCACATTTAATCAACTGCAACAAGGAGGAACAGGTAGTTCACAGTATTTCCAGGTTTCTAAAAAGACAGGAAAACTCTACACAAGTGTTACACTTGATGCTGAAGCCATGTGCAAACGTAAAAAGGAATGTTTCCAAATTGTGGATGTAGCTGTAAGAAAGGCAACATCTTCTATTAGAATATTAGAAATTAAAGTTAAAATTGAAGATGTTAATGATCATTCACCTGAATTTCCTGAGAAGCAAATTAGCATTCATTTTGATGAAGGAGATGGAAAAGGGATGAGACGATCAATTCCCAACGCCATAGACAAAGATGTTGGGAAGGAAAATTCTCTTATAAATTATAAGTTAAAGAAAACCAGCAATGACCCTTTTGAGCTATTAATATCCCAGAATGTTGACAAGACATCTGACCTGAGTATAATATTAAAAGAAATGTTGGACAGAGAATCAAAAGATTTGTATGTGGTTCAAGTAATTGCAGAAGATGGAGGGTCCCCATCAAAGCAAAGCGTATTGAATATTCACATCGCTGTTACTGATGTCAATGACAATCCTCCTCAATTCTCACAAAGTGTCTATAATATATCTATCAAAAATGAAGAAAGCCAAACCCTACCAGTTATCATATTATCTGCTACTGATTTAGATTTGGGAATAAATGGCAAAATATTTTACCACTTCAGCTCTGAAACTATAGACACAGTTAAGTCTCATTTCAAATTGAGTGAAGCAACTGGAAAGATTCTGCTAGTTAAGAAGATCTCAGTGGAACAAGGTTTATTACATAAATTGTATGTGAAAGCCACAGATGGTGGTAGTCCACCTTTAAGTTCAATTGCTATGGTTCTGATAAATGTTCTGAATCGAGAAAATCATGCTCCTTCAATCAAAGTCAATTTTATCACAGCATCTACAGAAAATACAGTCAGCATTTCTGAAGATATCAAAGTAGGAAGTTTTATAGCCTATGTGAAAGTTATTGATAATGATGAGGGACAAAATGGAGAAGTTATTTGTCATCTTCATCACAATAAGTTTCGTCTTAAAAATCTCAATAGAAATAAATATGAAGTCTTAGTAAAGAAAGAAATTGACAGAGAGACAGAGGCAAACCTTGATGTTGTGATCAGTTGCCAAGATAAAGGATCTCCTCCTCTTCATAATAACAGCAAATTCTCCATTCAAGTGATGGATATCAATGATGTTAAGCCACAATTTACAAAAGATACATTTAAATTCTTGATTGATGAAAATGAAAACTCAAGAATTACTGTTGCTTTACATCAATGCCACTGACCCAGACTTGGGAGCTGGAGGAAAACTTACATATTCTCTGATCACCAATAATAAACACTTCTTACCTTTCAAAATAAGTCCAAATGGATTATTATCAGCAATTATGTCCCTTGATCATGAGTTTCAAGATACTTATGATTTCAGGTATTTGTCAAAGATAATGGAACACCATCTCTGAATAATACAGTCAATGTGATTGTTGAGGTAACTGATAAAAATGATAATGCTCCATATTTTACATTTCCCAGTATTAAACCTTACAATCTGGATGTGACATATTACCCATATCATAGCAAGAACATCAGCCAAATCAAGGCATCAGATAGTGATAGTCAAGAGAATGCATTTCTAAAATATGAAATAATCAGAGGCAATGATAAACAGATATTCAGCATGAACCAGTACACTGGTTTATTAGCTTTCAATCGACAACTGAGTCCAGAAAATGCTGGTTCCTATCAGCTGGACATTGTGGTCAAGGATAGTGGTAGCCCAGTTCTATCAGCAACAACTACTCTGTTTTTAACATTGACTATCAGCAATAAGACATCCCAAATGTTAAATGTTATTGAGCTAGAAAGTGAAGAGAAAGTGCATCTTAATCTGGTCATTATTATTACAGTGATAGCAGTGACAATAGCTGTGTTCATAACAGCTTCATTATCAATCTGCATCATTCGATGTAATGGTCAGTCAAATGTGGCCTATGCACAACCACTTGATCCTCCCAATAGATATGTCAGTGAACAGAGACAATTGATTACTCCTAACCTGGGAAACTCTTGGCCTCGACCTGCTCATCCATTGCCAGCAAACCTAACTCCAGCAACAAATACTACTTTGACAGGTTCAACAAAGAGACTACTAACAGCTGCACAGAAGCCAGGCATATCTACAGAGATTCCATCACAAGTAAGTGCACTGACTGAAATATTTTTGAAAATATTATTTTAATCTAATTCTTTGAAAATCTATTTAGTTTTAAAAAATATTCAGAAAATACACAATCAACACAAATTATTATTTATTCTAGTTTCTCAGACATTAGTAAAATTTAATGACAAAATTAAATATTTTTGTGATAAAAATAATATTTTTCACGGAATCCTACATAATTTTCCATCAAGCAATTATATTTTTCCAGATTGTATTAAAATTATATGTTTTTGTATAATGATCCATTCTTTTTCAATGAACATTAATGTTCTACTACTTGTTTTGATAAAGAGGTTTTAGTACTATTGGATATAATATTTGATTTTGGTACAACACCTGAAACAGAAAGAGCAGTCATTTGTTTGTGTATCTAATTAATTCCAAGAATATAATTTGTAGAATTCTGTAACATTATAATATAACTATGATTATTCAAGTTTTTTTATCTTTTTATACAGTTGTAATTATTGTATTTTGAAGAATTTTTTAAAAGTTATATTTTTTTATTATTTTATATAAAATCATTCTCTGCATTCATTAATCCTCAATATTGAATTTATACAGAACTACAGATATTCTGTAACAGTCATTATAGAAGTTTGAAAGCATTTTTGAAAAAGTCTGCTGAATTACAATTTTGATAGAAATTTTACATAAAATGAAAGATATATATATATATATATATATATATATATATATATATATGAGAGTTTTATTTTCAAATTATGAATATTTGGATTTATTACGATTTGGAAAAAAATAACTGACAAATAGAATGAAAATAACCTGGAAATAATATAAAAGAGCAGCAAGCTAGGTTTTTAAGAAACATTTGTAAATTTCGAATCTAATAGTTATATAACATGGCCTTTTAAATGTATTTTATTTACAAAATAGTATAAAATATATTTGTGATATAAATTTCTACTGAATTGTACTAGACATTGCATTTTATATTCTTAAAACCATTTTTTGTTCATGATCATAAATATCTTTCTTTATTATAACAGACATATACACAGAACATGTCAATTCCACCTGATTATTTTGCTTGGAGATCAGCTGTGCCTTCTCCACCAGACAATGAAATTAACTGGAGAGAAGAAGATACACAAAATAAGGAAGAAACTGGTAAGTTATGAAATGATGACTAGTTTTTCTTTGAAGTCTTTTTGCTTTCTAGAGTCTTCACAATGACCAATCAACAATGTTCCTATCATCTTAAATCAGTGGTTCCAAAACAGTGCTGTGTGCCTCATATGGTGGATGTTCTGACTTTGAATCCGTGGTTATCTCCCTTTAACTCTCTCTCTCTCTCTCTGTTTTTTTTTTTAAATGTACCTTTTATTACATGAAATTTGGTGAGGCACAAGCAAATTTTAATTCTGAAAATGCAGCCTAGAGAAAAAAAATTTTAGGAACCACTGTCTTAAATTGTTTATACTCAAGCTATATGTTGATTATTAATTATAATCCTAAAATAAGCAATGATTATTATACATGTAAACAGACATGAAATTTATACAACAGCATTCAACTTCTAAAATCCTAATTTTTCTATTTCTACTGTTATTTTACTTGTTTTCCAGACCTACTTGCATCCAAGTCTTCAATTTATCCAGGCCATTTGAGCAAAAATGACATTTCTAATCCATATCCACAATCCAGAAATCTTATAGAAATGAACCAAAAAACTGTTAACCCCCGACCATTACCCCCTGTGCCACACACAAACAAATGAATGTATACAGTACAAAAACTATAAATATTATATCGGTATATATTGCTTAAAACTTGTTTCATTTTATTGCAAAATGCACAGATGTTTTGTATATTTTACAAAAAAATTTAAAAAAAAAAAAACAATATCAAATATTTTATACTTTTTATAAAATCATGTAATCTAAAATGACTCCCTGAAACAATTGTAAGATAATGTACATAATTTAAATGAAGATTTTAAGAAATCAGAAATAATTCTTAAACCGTGATCAAATTTTGTTATAAATATCAAACATGTTAACTGAATAAAAATGTTTAAATTGATATTTGTGTTAAACGTTGATTTTAATTTATCAGTCACTAAAAACAAAAAGGAGGAAAATCTAACACATATCTTTGAAGATAACAATTACTTAAATTAATAAAAGAAAAAATGTGTTGTATCTAATTAGTAGAAACATTTCTGTCATTCTCTGCATATATACATTATGTCAGAGATTTTATTATGTAAGTTAATACTTTCACAATAAAATTAGTATTAACCAACTGATGCTCATAAAATTTTCAGATTATACTTATATGCATTATATTTTGTGACTTTCAGTTTATATCTATCATTATTAAAATTATTGATAATAATGTGTTTTGGGGATGTCAGATTTTATTATGCAAACAAACTAAATGCAACGTAACTTTTTATTTATAATTAAATTCAAACGATACAGGTTATAGAAATGTATATTTGATTAATTCAATATATCTTCATAAATTATTATTATACATTTTAATAAGGGGGTATGTGGTGTGGTGTAATGGATAATTAATCAGAATGAGAATTTAGAGGGCCGAGTTTGAATTCCAGTTGGGTTCATTACATTGACAGTGACTTATGCACAAATACACTTGGGAAAGATAGGAATCCATCATTCCCCCTAGCTATGGGTTAAATAGCAGGACTGAGTCCTCTAGCCTTGGTTTGCAACCTGTCTACTGAAAAAAGAGACAGCAGCCTACTGCAGGAAATTTTCTGCCTAGTCAGTCATGAATCGAAAGAGACATAAACACTCAATTGTGACTATTCTAACTTTTAATATGGTTTCCTTTATTATCTTCATCAGTTTTTCAATCATTGATTTTTATTAGATTCTGTACTGTTTTGACTATATACTACTTTAATAATACTTAATATTACTTTGCAACAGTTTTTATTTCTTCAGAGATTTCTTTGCTTGAATATTGCTTCCCATTTTTATATATATCTCTTTTAATGATGGACTACAAGTTTTCTGTTGGTTTAATATCTGGAGAGGCTGGAAGCCCTTTTATTAATTTGATATCTTTTTGGCAAAGTAGGCAATAGTTAGCTTTACAGTATGTGAAGGAACATTGCCTTGCATGAATAAACATTTTAGCTTAAAAATTCTGGGTTGTGACCTGTGCCAATCAAAAAACAATTTTATTATAATAATTTTATGCATTTATTTTAATGTTATTGTCAAATTTAAAGAGACCTTTAATTTGACTGAATTTGAATACTCACCCAAAAGATTACTCCACCTCATCATGTCTCATGTTGTGTTGGTTGACTATTTTCATAAAGAATCCAACCCCTAGCCTGACCATCAGGTCCCACCAATATAGCTCTACATTTATCACTAAAAATTAGTGCTGAGAAATCAGTTTTCATGTGCTTCTACACCCAACTTACATATTTTTATTGTGATGGTAGCTTGGTTGCTTTCATGTTTTTAACCAATATTCTTAATATTCTACATCTTTTCTCTCTGATTACATTTATAACACCAGCTTCTTCAAATATTTATTTTGCTGGCCAATCTACCTTTTCTTGCTTATTACCATTTTAATTTTTCTGAAATCTCTTCTTGTGACATTTTAAAAGCAGATTTGTTTTCTTGTTCTTATATTGCCAATATTTTCAATTTCTTCTTTGATTATTCTATCATCCCTTTTCAACCTTTTCACAATCTCACAAAGTTGTCTTCCTGTCACTAAGTTTACAATATCTTGTCTTTTGAGATTATATCTTTCTTATGATCCTTGTCATTCTTTCTATATTTGAAATTAAAATATGAATATCAATAACTATATCTCTATATTTATTTACAATAATCCTTGAGTTATATAACCAATCTCACGCAACCAAATAATTTATTGTAAATATTTATAATAAATGGATAATATAAAGTGAAATTCACACAGCATATTCATCATATAAGTGTGTTTATCCTGAAAATTTCACTAACATCAATTGATTAATACCAGATTTATTGTGAAAATATTGACTTGTAAAATAAAATTTGCTATAGTGCTGGAATGAATGCTTTTTCATATACTGGACTGATTTTGCCAAAGTATTATCCAAATTTTTTTTTAATGAAGAGTTTTCTGAAAATATTATCTTAAAAAAATTATACTAGCAAGATTTGAGTCATAAACTTATGAAAGACGAAACTCAGGGATGATTAGTGAGTTGCATTAGAAATTCATAATTCTCATGTAACTTATGCTGGTATTCTTTTAATAATCCAATCTTTCTTAAACTCTTCATTTTGGAAATCTAGGCTATCTACAACTCTGATTGAAATAAACTTGGATATCACTTATAATAAACATAAAATCTTATAAAAGGTGAAAATGAGTAACAATTGTTTTAAATTTAAGAAATTTAGATCAAAATTTAAACACAAAATGATAATTAATAAGAGAGTTAGACTCTTTTCAAAGAACATTTGTGATTCACTATAACAATAAGCACACAACATAAGTTTGTAGAACAATCAGATCATCTCTTTCCATCACTGCCATCAAAGTCTCACACACCTTATTGTTCTTGCAATCATCTGACTGCAAAATATGAATTTTAAAAGAAAATATCTTACCAAAGATCCTTGGGATTTAAAGCAGAAGGTAAGTGATATTTCATGTTCCTTTGATTGCATTGCAATGTTTTTCTTTCAGTTGCAAATACAGCCTTTGCTGATTTGTCACTGTAAAGAAAAATAATGTCATTGTTACATTTATGAAGCAAAATCATTATTGAATAACACTTTTTTCAATGTCATATAATAATCAATAACAGATAAATTAAAAAATAGCATATTCTATTTATTTCTGATTTTTAGTTAGGTTACTTTTATACTCATATATTGTGCACCAGAATACTTCCTTGGTGATGTTTATTCTGAGGTCATAGAAAGTTTGGGTCCTCCATGACATCAGACTTTTTCTACCATGGGCTCAGCTGAGAACAATCATTTCTCAACAAGCATTCTGGCATAGCTTCTGCATGACTGCAAAAATTGTAACAATATTTGTGCCTACTCAAATGTGATCCTTTTATTAATTACTCTTCTTCTGTACTTACTCATTCATTAGTAATGTTTCTGTTTTCTAATTCTTTCACACCCAGTAACCCCTTGTCTTCTTAGTGGCTTTATTGCATCTTGCTTGGGGTAAACTTCATTAAAAGAAAAAAAAATAGTAGCATTAAAATTACAAATTTGCTCTGGATTCTCTAGTTTTGGTTGTCGACCAGTCTAAGAAAATGACAAAATTAGGATAAGCAACTCTATTCCATAAAAAAACTTACTTGATTTGGAAACCCGAGCAGGAGATAAATTGATGATTCCTTCATGTAAGAATTCTGGACAACTTAAAAAAAACCTATTGGTTTTTCCCCAGTTGTTTATAAAAGTCCTTGTAGTTGATCAACATTTCAAAAACTTTTGCTGTCAAGCCAAAACTGATATCATTTCGGTTTCCGTTTACTTTTAATAAACAATGTTTGTCCATGAAAATAAATTTGATAGAAAAAAGTTAATATAATATACGTGGGGGTAGGGAAAAATTGTCTAGTTCCCTCAGTAATACTTATTGAGATGCTTCGGACATCAAGAATTGGCTTACCTTTTTTAGTGCAATCTTGGAGAAGAAGCAACTCCCGATTCCCCAAGTCAAAACAAGGACATTTTTCCTGCTACTGAGCTAATTGTCTGAATATTATCTTCCCATATAAAATAAAAAAAGAAAAAGAAAATAGATCTGTGCACTTAATGGAGACTAAATTATTACAAAAAATCATTAAATTTCCACGGAGACGAAATAATTACAAAAAAAATGTTGGAAAATTTCGGACGCTACTTTTCATTACTCTGACTGCATGAAATTTTCTGTTCAAAGAATGGAAATAAATTCTCAGTCAGATCCCAAACTTGAAAATAACGTCATGTCTAAGAAACCCCTGAAAAAATTCCAATATGTTCTTTTCCTTTTAACAACCAACCGTAAAAGAAAAGGTGTCTAAAAAATGTCTAATCAAATTTTATCGCAACTTGTTGAATGAAGCCGAGGTCAACGTGTTTATTAAAAAATCACTTGAGTTAAGAAGTATATCTAACTTAAAAATAAAACTATTTTTCAAAGGCTATAAAATATTTTTAAGAAACTTACGGTAAAGAAATAATATATTCAATTAATTAATTAAAGTCGAAGGAGCTCATCCGTTGAAATTTTCGTCACTTTCCGGAAAATAGAGAAGTAATTTTTTAAAAATATTTTTCTTCTGGTTTAAAGGAAAAAAGTTATAAAATAAAAAATTTTTGTTTGCTTTTTTATTTGTTTTTTTTATTTGTTTTTTTTTATTTTTTTTTTGTTTAAAAATTATTTTAAATGGAATAAATAAAAATTATTTACAGTACACAGAGAGTCTGAGAGGCATGTATTTTTTTCCAAAAATGTCCTACTACAAAAATAAAATATTCCCCCGGCGAAAATACGATTAAATATGACTAATGTTAAATAAAAACAATTTTTAATAGTAGAAAAAAAAGCGCATTCAAAGAAAACTCGGTCAAAATTGAAGATTATTACTTTAGTTTTTAGTTTTTAAAATTTTATCAAAATCGTTTATTTTTTGTGGAATGAAAGGGAAATAACTGCTAATTTTGTCCGTCGACCACAACAGAAAGTCGATAGATT